GTAGTAGTAGTTGTTGTAGTAGTAGTAGTAGAAGTAGTTGTTGTTGTTGCTGTTGTTGTTGTTGCTGTAGTTTTTGTGGCGTAATTAGACGTAATTAGATGTAATTAGTGTAGTGTAGTGTGGTGTGGTGTGGTGTAATGTAGTGTAGCGCAGTGCAATGCAGTGCAGTGTTGTGTAGTGTAGTGGTACTTCCAGTTGTAGTTGCAGTTGTAGTTGTCTATCTATTTATCTGTCTATCTGCAAGCTTGAAAACGAAGCTATTCTGCGAGACTTCCTTAATTTTTGAACTCAACAGGGTCAAAAACGAAACAATTCTGCGAGACCTCCTCATTTTTCGAAGTTGACAACATCAAAAACGAAACAATTCTGCGAGACTTCCTCAATTTTCGAAATTAACAACGTCAAAGACGAAACAATTCTGCGAGACTTCCTTCAAAAATGGAAAGTTGAGTGCAGAGCTGACGGCCTTGTACCAATGCGTTTTGCGTTGTTTCCACTCCACCTGTCTAAAGTACTGCGCTTGCCACTTAAAAAGTGATGCCATGTCATTCGAAGTGCTGCACCTGTCACGCAAAATCATCTTCCCAAAACTGAAGATCTTATGCTCCAAAATGCAACGCCTCTCAGGAAATCAGCGCCCGGACCTCCTAACAGCTCTGATGAACATGTCTCTTGTACTGCACCTGCCACGCGAAATGCATCTTCCAGATCCTCTTCAAATGTCCCACGCCTGCCATCGCTTTTGGAAATGCTGCAAACCCCTCACGTTTCGCTCACTTTTGGCAGAACCTTCAAAAGTGGTCCGAGCATGTGGTGCTTTGTACATTTTGACTTTGAAATGTGCTTCGCGCCACAACGGCGTGCACCTTTTCATCTCTCATCTGACCACATGGCTGTGGACCCGCCGCTTAAGCGAGCCTACTTTTCGACCCTGCGGAGCCACAAATCATTGGAAAAACACAGTGCTTTGCGACTTTCCTACCTTTTCGCGCACCTGGATCTTCTTTCTTATGAGACTTTCTCTTTTTTGATCTTCTTTCTTCTTCTCTTCTCTTCTCTGACTCTTCGCATCTCTGCTTTTCATCTGTCCATATTATTATCGGAAGTTTGATTTCTAAACTTCCTTCGATTATGCGTACAGAACATTTCGCCCTCGGAAGCAACTGGCTTTCCTTATCACACGATACACAGAACATGTTGCTCTGGTCTCGGCAGTCAGTAACGGTCAGTACGTCCAAGTCTGACAGCTCGTTGTGTTTTTGGTTCGAGCTTTCGAGGATCAAAAACATTAACTCCATGAAGTTTGCCCGACACACCTTGTGAGCTCTCTCGTAGGCACGCTCGAAATTCTGGCTCACTACACCTCGTGTAAGAAATCTTGCACTCCAAATCCAATTCAAAGCTCAACAAGGTACGATTTAGCACTTGAATGTAATTGACATGATTGACATTGCCCACATTGATCATTCATTCTATTATGTTGAAATGCTTCCCAAACCCTGTGTGGAAAGAATGAACTCATACGGAACTCACATTGAAGTTTGGAAACATCGATGATCATCGATGTTTAGCTCTTGCACCACCATCCCGGAAGCAGCTCTGTGTGTCCGAGTTGCCAATTGGCAAGGCGAGAAGAATGATGCCGAAGTAGAAAACGCACACACCTCACACAGCACAGTGTTGTTCAATAATTCTCTCAGGTCAAGCACTCTAATGGCTCAACTTGATGCACCAAACAAATATGATGGTCAAGTAGCCCAAGCATTGGCCCAGAGATGTGGTAGGCGCGGAATCCCCATAGCCCACAGTTGTAGTTGTGGTAAACACCCACCTTGGTCGGACATGTTTGTGCAGGAAAGGGAGTGGATGGCAGTTTTTGTTCGGGGGTGGGACTAGCAGTACAGTAACAGACATGCGCCAATGCAGCCAATAGACCACAGAGATGCAGGTATAGAGTAGAAAGGGGATGGTTCGACCCCATTGTTCCAGATATTTGGCCGCACAAAGACACCTGCCAGCAGCGCACTACGACCAATAAGTCTTGCCTTTGCTGAAGTTTGCACTAGGTAGCTGGTAGATTGAGAGCGGAGAGGTCCAAGAGGCCTACATGTAGCCACGTCGTGTACCCTGCGATATCATGGATGCGCACAAGATTCCTGCCTTTCGGGTATTTGGGCGGCATCTGCTTTCCTTGGCCAGGAAAAGCATCCAGGACTTTAAACGTTGTATGCACAAGGAGCACAGGGCTGTTCTGATTAAGGAAAGGTACCAGTAGCCAAGTCCACGTAGGGGCCAGTGAACTCTTCAGCTACTGAGTAGCTACTGCCTGCGAAACAGTTGGAACACTGGAGCTGCTGGAGCCCAGTGGACTCTACCAATACCGTGT